ATAGATAGATAGATAGATAGATAGATAGATAGATAGATAGATAGATAGATAGATAGATAGATAGATAGATAGATAGATAGATAGATAGATGTCTCAATGTGCCTCATATGATCCCAGAGGCTTAAACATCTTTTTGATTTTTTAAAAATATTTTTCAGTATTTTTTAAAAACTTTTAGATTAAATTGTTATTTCTACTGAAACTCTTGCGCTTCTAATCCCTGTGGGATTAAAGGCGCTTTCTTTATTGATGCATAATGTTCAGGAACTGATTTTTTCCTGCATGCATTCCTTTTCAAACATTGAGGTAAATAACTTTGCAGAGTTAATAGATTTATTTTCGGTTTAGGCCAAAGGATAAATAAACACGGACAGATTTCCTGGATTAGAAAATGTTTGCGCTGGAGGAAGAATTGAAGTTTGGGTCCATCTTTAATGTGGGATCAGAGTTAATCCTGAACCCGAGGTTGCGGCCTGGATTATTCTGCCAACATTTTGCTTTGGTTTCACATCTGAGGTTTATTTAGGAAAAGCTGCGTCTAACTTGTTTTACAGACTTGTTAATATTTTGTATATTTTGCAGTTTAATCTGCGATATTCCTGCCATGCAGAGTCGATCTGGAACATCTTGTTCTATATTATGAAAATAAAGCTGACTTTATTACCACTTCGGACTATGAGTGGACTAATAATCCTAACCCCATATAATCTCTAATCTTATCCTGAAAAGCAACTTTGCTGCCAGATGCATTTTAGAATAAAACCCAACATTAAACTGGACCTAAATGCAGGTTTAGATGTTAGAACCAGAGTTAAATAAACTGTTTAATGATGAAAAAATAGTTTTATTGCATTTCTGAAAACATGGTTTATTTTTCTGATTTGCTGAAAGGAAATGGAATCAGATGTGATTCTAGAAAAGTTATTTTTTATTTATGAATGTATTTATTTTGTGTTAAACGTTAAGCAGAAGTTGCCAGAAATAAACAGGTTTAATAAATATTTAGGTATTTTTAATTAAATTTATTTTTCACTATTTTTGGAATTTCTGTTTACATTTCTGGCAAAAGTAAAATGAGGGACAGAAATGCTTATTTTTATTGTTTGTTTTTAATCTTTACTTTTATCTATTTTCTTCCTTTATTTATTTTTTCCAGTGTTTAGTTCTTCATGAACATTTTGGGTCCTAGATGCGTAAATAACTCCGCATTTGAAGGTAGAAAATGTTTGGAATTGCGGATAATTTGCACATTTATGCAAAGAAAACTCACCAGCTCCCGTTTCCTTTTCAAATCCCGCGTTTCAAATTTCTTAATCTCGGCCTTAAAGCCCTCCGTCTCTCCGGAATCCTTGGCCAGCACGTCCATCAGATACGCGATGTAACTGGTCGCAAGGCGCAGAGTTTTGATTTTGGACAGTTTGGTGTCTGCAGGAACGTTGGGGATACACTCCCGGAGCTCAGCGAAGGCCGTGTTGATGCTCTCCGTCCTGCGGCGCTCCTTCTTCGGTCCGGACGCCCTCCTCTTCCCGATGCCGCTCTGCAGAGCCTCCAGCCGGCCGTCGTGCGCCGTCCCATGCGCTCCCAGCTCCGCGGACGGCGTGTAGGGCGCCTGGATCTGGAAGTCCGCGGGCACCTCGCCGTGGTTCACCACCCAACTCTGGAAATACGGTGCGTCCTGGTGGCACCGCTGGACAAACGGGAAGGGTTCGTGCATGAGGTGGTGGTGGTGATGATGCTGATAGCCCCCGATGAGGTTCATGCTGAGCCGGGAAGGAAATAAACTCGTTCGGCCCCAAAACCGTCTCTGCTCGAGGATCAGCAGCGAGCAGAACGATGAGTCTCCTAACTGCGGTCACTTAATAATAATCTATTCATTTTACACCATCCTCATGATCGGAGACGTTCAGCAGCAAAATAATATTCCTGAGATGTTGGCGATGCGCCGCAGTTCCACCGAATTCTACTTTCCAGAAGAGGACAGAGATCTGCAGGAGTAATTTGAGCCATGAGAAGGTGAGAGGCCCCAGGTTTATATGAGCTGGATGTGAGCGAAACCAACAGGCAGCCAATGGAGGAGATGGGAGGAGAGTTTGGAACAACATGGTGCCAGAAAACATCTGCCTGACTGGCATCACATGAGCGGAGGAGAAAGTAGATCTGCTTTCCTTTTCTTCTACATTTCACATTTTTATTTGGGTAGTTTCGCGGTTTATTACGCGCAGAACTTTACGCACCGTTCAATTGGAGACGCGCTTTTAAGGAGGTGATGATAGACTGCAGAGCTTTTCTTTCTTTCTTTCTTTCTTTCTTTCTTTCTTTCTTTCTTTCTTTCTTTCTTTCTTTCTTTCTTTCTTTCTTTCTTTCTTTCTTT